TCTCAGAGCTTGGGGATCTCCGCAGGGAGGCTCCATTACACTCAATGCTCGGCCAGCAGTGAACGGAGCTACCATTTCACCTCTGGGCACCGGGAGGTGACTGCGTGGCCCTTCCTCCGCCTTTGGCCACTCACTCTATTCCTACTCCTTAAGGGGACATGTCTTCCTTCTCACAGCCTGATTCACCTACCTAAATAAGATTAATGCCATTTTGGGGCGTCTTATATCCTCTAAACTTGCATTTAGCCTGCAAAAGAGACTGATGGATAGTATTCTCAATGTAGAACATAACAAAGGAAGCAGAGAGTTGAAGCCTGTCTTTCTGGGCCTCATTATCTGCGGAAGGAAGGACTTGAATTAGATGAGCTTTTAGTCTCTTCCTTCTTTAGCATTCCACAGTTCTATGGAGCTATGACAAACTGCCAATTGTATGAAAAACTGGTATTACCAGGGGTGCTACTTCTAGTTCTCTCTTCGCAAACAAGCCACAGATTTATGGCAGTGAGTCGAAAATTGATGCACAGTGAATGTTACCCTCTTTGGACTCAGGATTTATTTGGGGGATTCAGAACACAGACCAGTTGCCTTTTAAAGAACTAAAACTGACAACAAACTGGCCCATTTCTAGGGGGATAAAATAGTAACTGGCTTTCTGTTGTCCTTGGATTTTCCCCAGACTTTCTCCTCCCATATAGGAAGTAATATGGCTCATCATTTTCTTGGTACTTAAGTTCTGGAAGACAAATCCCAGAATGCTACATTTTCTATCCATGAACTATGGTGCCTTTTCCTTATGTATGATAGTTAAATCTTTCTTTAGAGAAGAGGCTATATCTTGATTTAGTTGCTCTTGATTTAGTCCCTCTTGATTAATTCCTCTTGATTTAGTTGCTAAGTTGTATCGGACTCTTTGCGATTCCCCTGAACTGTAGCCTACCAGGTTTCTCTGTTCATGAAATTTCCCAGGCAAGAATACTGAAGTGGGTTACGATTTCCTTCTTCAGGGGAGCTTCCCAACCCAGGGATTGAACTCTGGTCTCCTGCATTCCTGGCAGATTCTTTTCTGCCACCAGGGAAGCACTGTAAGGGGTGGAGTTTAATCTGCTTAGAATCAGACAATCACGTGTCTACCATAACCTCAGAGGGTTGAGAGACCCATCATCCAAGAAATATGCTGTGTTGTCCTCCGGAGGTTATTCATTCCTACTTATCAAGCATAACAAAATAGTTCTTTCTTCTTCCCATATTATTCAATAGAGAGGATTTTGAAAACACTGGTTTCCATATACCACAGTCCCTGTAAACACCTGCCTTATTTCATCCTAATTCCCTGTAATATTGGCCCTAGGAAGGAATCATCAGCTCACACACTGGGCTGTCTGATATTTTTATGTAGATTTTCTAGTGCACCGGTGGTGACCTTTGTTGAGTCACAGAGTTCTCTGACAACATGATGAAAGCTAGGGTCTCTCTCAGCAAAAAAAAAAAAAAAAAAAAAATCTCATCTTACATATAATTTCAAATCAAACAAAACTCTGTTGAAACCTATTCACAGACAGAGGCTAAGAACCCTTGCATAATGGTTGCAAAGTGGTCATGAGTACCATTTCTCCTTTAATCTCTAATAGTATTTGTGAATTATTAACATAAAACAGTAGTCGTATATCATTTTTGTTTTCCTGAATCACTTTCTTTAATTTAGTTTTTTCCTCACTGTGACTAAGAACAAAGGCATTTAGAATAAGCCTTCCAGAATTTAATTTATAACTCTTGGCTCAGAATGCAGTTGGTAACCGATCTGAGCTAAAACCACAGTGACACTGAACAAGCCATTGTTCTTAAGATTTAACTGAGGTCAGCCAAGCTGTGGGCACATATAAATCTCCATAGTTTCCACTTTACTACCAGGACATCTAACTACAAAGCAGAGGCTAAAAATGGATCAGGCCCAGTGTTCACATACATTCCACAGAGCTGCATTTCCAACTCCACACCAGTTTTAATTAACAACACTTTTCACAACCCCAAGAGAAAGATTTCATTTAGCAGGGAAAAGTTGCTCCATTCTGAAAAATTAAAAATACAACCTGAAAGAATTATAAAGATTTTGAAATGTTCAAAGAATATTATCTGCACCTGTTAGCTCTAGGTCTAAAAAGAGAAAAACTAAAATACCCCCAAGATTAGGTTAGCTTTCTTTTCTTTTACATTGCAATATCCAAAGGAAAAAATATTGGCATCTTCCCTTTCTTCTTTTTAGGTCCACATTTCTACTAAGAAGTGGAGTTGTTCAAACATACTAAGCCGTTAATAAATACCTATCTACCTACATAAACACTTAAATAGCAAGAAGGAACAAGATGTGAGGCTGACCATAGAAATAATTACAGTTCTACTTCCTACAGAAAGTTTATTATCTGAGGTTGTTTATAACTAATATGGCTAAGTCTGCCAAAGACAAAATAGAGCAAATGTTTTCTGGATAAAATACAAAGATGCTCAAAGGTTCAATTACTAATGTTTGATATGATTTATCAGACTGCAAATAAATATGAATGGTGTATATATGGTTAAAAGAAGAATTTAGGAATAGAATTTAAGAAAAAAAACTCTCTTTAAATAACAAATTCATAAAACACTATAGACTCTACAGCATTGGGGGAATGAAATAAGTATACATGAGTTAGCTTAAAAATTGTACAGTAATGAAAACACCCATTTTCTACATTTTCTGTAGATTCAGCACAGATGGACTAGGAAAATGGATATTTAAAACATAATCGTCTCTATTACAAGACAGCTGCTTTCCTAAGTGAGATTCTTAAACATATGTATGTAACATTCTTCAGGAGAACATGTGGTACTATCACATAGCACGGTGCCCATTCCTGTTTCGTTTGGAAAGCAGGTCACTTGAAACAAGGGCCAAAAGAAATGAATTCACCTCCTCCCTGACAATATTTCCATATCTGCAGCCAATTCGAGGTCCTTATGAATATCCCATGGCACACATAACCCGTGAAAGTGGGATTGGAAAACGATCCTATTCCATTTTAAGTGGAATTTCAGAATGTTGCCATCATACACTGCAGGTAATTCCAGAGACTTTGGTATTGGATGTGCAGAAGCTCCCAGGAGGTCAGCACCGCACCCCCAAAAGCACAGCTGTACATCAGGTGCTGTTTAACCCACAGGGATACAGGAGTTTCTGCCTTCAGAACCAGTCCTTACTTCTGTTCATACAAACCACTGTATTACGTCCTCAATCACTTTTCTAATTCCTAGAAGTAAACACCTCTCCAAGCTACCCTGACAGATATTTTGTGGACTTAAATTGTATAAGACTTAAAATAATATCTGTTTATAGCAAATAATGCAATATACGCCAGACAGAGGAGATCTGAGGCAGCAGCTGGTAACTGACCACACAGCCCAGGAATTCTTACGTTTGGAAGTTCAACAATTCTTTCTGTGGACTATAGATAGACATTTAATAAAATCACATGAATCTTGCAAGTGTTTTTTAATCCCCATGACACATTTCGCTCGGGATACTGAGAAAATAAAAACTGGCTTGGACTGAGAAAGTACGGATCCAGCCAGCATTCATCAGGCTGGAACAAGACGCAGAGAAGCCAACCTCAGGGTTCATAGGAAACACTTCTCCCAGTGACACTGCTGCAGTAGAGGGCTCTGACAGCCTCTTCTGCATGACCAAAGACTCGCCCAGCAACTTCCTTCTCCAATATAAAAGATTACAAGCAGGCTTATTGTTTGAAATTTTATTAGGAAGAATGAGATATTGCCTCTTTGTGTGGAGGACCTCAGAAGCAGGTTCAGTTCTCAGCCCATGTGCTGGGCTCCATCTAAGAGATTTCTCGATACAACAGTCCTCATTTATCTCAACTTGACTGTTTCCAAAGCAACAGGACACTGATTCACTTTTTTTTTTTTATTCACTTTCTAGACCAGACCTGCATCTAAATCCCACTCTTCCAAGAATCCTGCTGAAACCCTCTTTTTCTTTACTTTTTTTCAACTTTTAAATCTGTTTTGGGGTATAGCCGATTAACACTGTTGTGATAGTTTTGTGTGAACAGCAAAGGGACTCAGCCATACATATACACGTATCCATTCCCCCCCCTAATCTCCCTCCCACCCAGGCTTCCACATAACATTGAGTAGAGTTCCATGTGCTATATAGCAGGACCTTGTTGGCTATCTGTTTTAATGCTTTAAACATAGCAATGTGTACATGTCCATCCCAAACTCCTTATCCTCCCCTTATCCTTCCCCATATCCTCCTCTTGGGCAACCATAAGCTTATTCTCGAAGCCTGTGAGTCTGTGAAAGTCTCTCTTTTCCTCTGGTGTGGGGTCTCCCTCATGGCAATGGGTTGATAAATCTAATTCTCTCAGAATATAGGTTTGTTCCTGGTATTGTTAGGCTGACTGAGATAGGGCCATGTTTTTATAAAATGCTCTGGCTAAAGAAAATATTTGCTGCTTGAATAACAGTTTGGAACTTCGATGCCGGCTTTCAGATACAGAAAGAATAGAACACATCTCTGCTGCAGTTTGGGTTCCTGTGGTCTGTAAATTTTAAATCCTATTCTCATCTAAGTTGAAAGTTGTGAGGGCCAGGAAACCTGCTGTGAGTGTCGGATATGAGATCTCCCAACTCTTCTGCTGCTGAATGTTGAACACAACCTGTGGCAAAACTTCTGTGCTTCTAGCAATATCACAGTTGGCAATTCAACCAAGGCACCCCAGGTGACTGCGAAGCTCTTTGTGAAACTCAAGCAAGCAAGGGAAAGGGGAATCCAAGACATAAGTCCCAGGCCTCCCAAACACATGTTTTGGCCTTGCTCCACACCTGGTTTAAAGGTAGGGCTGCCAGACTCAGGAAGAAAGGAAAAAGTAACCTGGGGCGTAAGGCGGGGGTGGGGCATTCAGAGAGCCGCGGCTTTGCCCAAAGTTTTAAGGCTTCTTGGTACCTACCCGCTGGAGTGGCCATAGTCGTAGGCCGACACCGCCTTGTGACTGGCTGCAGAGGAGAGGGCAAACTCGGAGGCCCGGGAGGCCTGATGCTGGTAGGATGCGGCGGACGCCTGGCTGAAGGCCGCTGACTCCTGGCGGTGGGCAGCGGAGGAGCGGCTGCTGTAGGCAGTGGAGCCGTGGGTGTAGATGGCCGAGCTTTTCTTCTCCTGCTGGTACTGGCTCATGGTGCTGCTGAGGTCCTTGCTGCGGTAGCTGCGGTCATAGTGCTGGTGAAGCTTCTGATAAAACGGCAGAGACATCGTGTGCCCCCAGGGATCCAGGCAAGCTGTGAGAAAGCAACAGGTTTGGGGTGAGCTCTTAAGGAACTAACTCTCCAGAACAAGTCATCTAAATCAGTAGGTGAAAATCACTACTCTTTTATTTCTTCCAAAGAGTAAGTGGAAAATGATGTGAAGGTTAGTTTAGCTGTTTACTCAGTTAACTCCCTGCTTCAGAGCCCTAATGTACCCCCTTCTATCATTGTGCTGCCTTCTCCTTCTTTTTAAATACATAGGAGATCTTTACAAACTTTCTCTGCTGTGCTATTTCAGTGGATATATGTAAATGTTCTGTCGTGTCTGACTCTCTGCGACCCCTTGAACTGTAGCCCACCAGGCTCCTCTGTCCATAGGATTTCCCAGGCAAGAATACTGGAGTGAGTTGTCATTTTCTTCTCCAGAGGATCTTCCCGACCCAGGGATCGAACCTGAGTCTCCTGCTTCTTCTGCACTGGCAGGCAGATTCTTTATCACTGTACCATCTGGAAGCCCGCTTTCATAATATATATTTCTAATTTTCTGGCATTTCCTTCTGATGGGGACTTTACCTGAGAGATTGGGTAATAGTGGAGAGCCTGTGTCCAGCCAATGTGGTTTTTTATTCAGCAGATAATTACTGATCACCTACACTGAGCCAAGTACTATTCCAGCCCAGGAGATAGATGAACAAAACAACAAAATTCCTGCTCTGATAACCCTATATAGAACCTTATATTCTGCTGCAAGTGATAGACAAATAGAGAAAATAAAGTGTAGAGTATATTAGAACCTGCTTAATGCTACAGAGAAAAATAAAACAGGAACATGGAATGGGATACCATTTAAGCAGCATCATCAGGGATAATGGTGATGACTGAGGATGAAGGTAACACCTGAGCATGAGAATACCTGGAATGGGAGAAGCATTCTGAATGGAAGGCAACTGCACAGGCCCTGGGGGTGTGAGCCTGCCTGTTGTGTTGTACTCCAGGACAGGCAAGTAGGCCAGTGAGGCTGCGAGGAGTTAAAGGGTGCAAGGAGAGGTACAGAAGATGATGTCAGGGACGGGGGAGGGAGGAGGGTAGTGTCGGACAGGTAGTGTAAGGACTTAAGACTTTTTTTCTGAAAGGAGTAAGGAATCACTGGAAGGTTCTGAGCTGAGAAACACTCTTGCTGAGCCGGAGAATAGATTGTTGAGGGACAAGAGTGAAAGTCAGGAGGCCAATGAGAAGGCTGCCATGGACTGAGTTGTATCTCCCCAAACCCGTATTTGAAGTCCTAACCTCGTGACTGGATTTGGAGATAGGATCTTTACAGAAGAAATGAATTTAAATTGAGGTGATTAGGATAGGTTCTAACCCAATAGGACATGATTGCCATTGCTATAAGAAGAGGAAATCAGGACACAGATATGTACATATGCAGGGGGAAGACACAGGACGGACTATCTACAAACCAGGGAGAGAGGCCTCAGAAAAGACCAACCCAGCTGATTCTTTGATGTCAGATTTCTAACCTCTGGAATTGTGAGAAGATAAGTTTCTGTTGTTTAAACCACCTGGTCTCTGGTGCTTTGTTACGGCAGCCCTAGCAAATTTATATAAAGGTCACTGCGATAGTCCAAGCTAAAGATTATAGTGGTAGCCGTGAAGTGTGAGAAGGGATCCAACTCTGCATGTTTTGTAGGTAGAATCAATAGCATTTGCTGAAAGTTCTGGAACAGGGTATGAAAGAAAGAGAGAGGTGAGTGACAGCTCCAAGGACTTTGCCTGAGTAACTGGAAGAGTAAAGCTGCTATGAACTGAGATGAGCAGGATTGTAAGAAAACAGCAGTTCGGGATGGAAGAAGAGGAACCTGGTTTGAGACATTCTACATTTGAGATACCTGCTAGACACCCAAGTGGAGAGATAAGGTGGGATGTTAGACATGTGACTCAGGAATACAGGGTAAAAGTCCAGGATGGAAACCTACATTTGGGACTCACCAGCAGACAGATGGTATACAATGCCAAAAGAGAAAAAAAGAGAGAATGAAAGTCCTATGCTCATATTGCCATGTAACAAGCCCTCTCAAATCTCACAAATGCTTCAAAAAGTATGGTGTCAAGCGAGAAAAATTCCATTAAGAATATAAAGCCTCCTAGTCTTCCTATATTAAAGAAGCAAGAAAGTCAGTCAGCAGTGTAGCAGTTTGCATTGTGAATTTGAGCTAACAGTTCTATTGAAAATCAAAGATAGGTTTGCTTAGCATAGAGAGGGGAGACTTCAGATTGCATTATCTTTCTTAAGAAACCTGTCCACTGACAGGAGCCTATCAGTCATACTGATAACCCTGGATGAATTTTATGAAAGCCACTCCCTTTTATCTTTAATGCTTCTATGCATATCCTAAACTTTTTACATGTAAAATTAGTTGTAATCAATTTTTCAAATCTTTAAAAAAATTCTAAATGAGGACTGAATCCTTCTAAACTTGCTACATTTTTTTTTTGTCAAGCTTAAAATCTTTTTATTTGAAGTGAAAAGTAGGCATGTATTCCCTAAAGAAGAAAATCCAGCAAACTTCACTCCAGAAATATTTATGTTAAGGCTCATGGAAGATATCAGTCTACATGGCATTTCCCAGGAGGAAAAAAATAGCTACTAGCAAACAACTTTTGCTTCAACCCTTAAATAGACTGCTATCTTCTATTTTAAAATATATGAATAATGATCAGGTATAATGAATAATTATTAGACAAATTTTTATAGGAAAAAGTGTAGGCTATATTAATATAGAAGTATATAACATTAGGCATTTATAAAGATATTTGGTAAATTTGTGTAATGATACATAGTATACTGCAACACAGCAAATGTTATTTGAATGATGTCCAAATAAACAATGAATGACCTTCTTGTGTATTATGTTATAAGCTAAATTCAGAACCCAAATAATTTGAAATGCTGCTAATTTTCACAAAATAAAATCTTTAAATGTCATGCCTCAATTCTATTTTCCATTCTCTTTATTTCTATTTTCCCCCCAATATATTTACTTTTAAAAGTACTGAATATTCCAAGCACACAGATGATACATTGCAAGTAAACAGGCTTTGACATTATGTCAGTGGAGCTGGTTGTCACAGCTCTGACCTCTGGAACGAAGGTACAACTACCTTCTCTTCATTAAGTAAGTGAGGATTATCCCTCAACACATGATAGCTAGAGTGCGTTGGGAGGGAAGATGGTTTGGTTGTCTTCCATTCCTTTAAAACCTGTGGGGTTTTTTTTCCCTGAAAATAATTTGGGAATTTAGGAAGAAACAGTTAACTCCGTAGTTGTAATTGTGACACAATACTTTTGGACAGGTGTTAGAAGCTGAAAGCTATAAAAATTCTTCACAGAAAGTGTGAACTTCAGAGTCATGATGCAGGGATCTGCGTTGCCTCTGAAATACTGCTTAGCCATTTCCCAATTAGAAATCCCTCCAGTGCACCCTTACATGTATACACATGGCATTGTCAGGGCAAAAATCACTGAATTAGAAACTTGAGACTTCAGAGTTAACCTACTCCTTTTGATCAAATTTGTAATCAGGCAGTACTGTAGGCTTATGGAGGATGGAAAACATGATTTCCTGTTTCCTCACCCATTCCAGATTTCAACCAAACCACTGAACTGTAACTTGGAAAGAGTACTTGACTCACGCTTACAGTTCTATCTCAGACAGCTACTGTCTTTTTATAGCTCCAGGAACAGTAGCTTAATTTTAAAAGAATCTACTGATCTGAGAGAAGAGCTGTGCCAGCACCCTGCTGCTCATATTCCTTCCCTGGAGCTCCACTTTCCTATTTCTCTGCTATTCTGACATCTCTTGGAGAAAACTGCTGAGCTCAGAAGACAGAAACCACACACACCGCAGCGCTGTTGAGCACGTAAAATATCAAGTGCATTCTTCTGCCTCAGGGTCACACTTACCAGTTTGCAAAGGATTGATGGTGGTGGAAATGTTCCGATGTGACCGTGGGGGCTGGATGAGACAGTGAAAAACCCACGTAGGTCGAATCCAAGAAAAAGTTAAGAGTCAGGGCTAAAAAGACAGGACCCTGGGGGCCAGTTCAAAAATAATGCATGTGGTCAGGCAGTAGAATGTCAGAGCCACACAGCCAGCCTTTTATGGCTAAGAGAGTAGATAAATATAGCAGCAAATGGGGAGTGCAGTACTGAACGGAAAGGAAGAGGAAGGCCCTGGCAGGTAGCAGTCACAGTAATATAATGATGTTCTTGCCAGTCAGTGGGTCTGGTCTGATTAAGCTAAATGTAGGGCTTTTATTTGGCTGTATAAGCTATTTTCAACATCATTTTACCACACCATATTTAAAAGTGTAATGGAAAGAGTGGTTTGTGTTGAGAGCTAAAAATAGGTGTAGTAATTTGATTCCCAAAATGAACTTCATGGAATTTTAATACCAAGATATGGTTCTGAATGTGCTGTTCATAATCCATGAGCAATACATTTAGGAGACACAATGTAAAAAAAGAACAGGGGGCTGACTAGAGGCAAACAGGGAAGACATATGTTACATGTGATGGAAACTCTGCCTTGATGATACCCAGTCACCGTTTCTCTCACTTCAAGAAAATTTACCAAGTAGGTCATATTATAGCTTCAAGTTTGAATCTTTGATTCCCTATTCATTAACTGACCCTTTAAGAAGCAGCATGTTTTATCTCACCTAAAGTCAGAGTATGGTCACTCTATCTAACGAGAGATTCTCTTTCTTTGATTTGAGACCATTTCACAAATTCAGAGGTGATGTTACCTGGTGTCGAGAACCTGCACTTCAGACTCAGACCAGATCTTGGTTCTAGGCCGTCAATGGCACTCAATAGCCATGTAACTTTAAGCAGTTTATTTCTCCTTAAGCTTCATTTTCCTTCTCTATAAAATGGGAATAATAGCATCCAAATTATGGGACTGCTGTGGAGATCAATAATGCAGAGAAAATGCTTAACCTAGTTATTGTGTCAAATGAAGACTTAGTAAATGTCAACTACTGTTACTGGTAGTAATAATTTGAAAGCTCATTGTTCAGAATATATGTACTGAGCATATATTCTGTGTGATATTACATGTGATTCATGTGATATTACATCAACTTAACACAGCTTGTATCTATCAAAATATTGAACAGACCCACTATTGTAGCCTGCTTTATAATTCCTTTCTTGATGATAACTACAATTAACACTGTTGAGAGCCTATAAGTGCCAGACACTCTGATAGGCACTTTACATACATGATCTCATTTAATTCTCATATTATCCTGGGATATGGGTACCACATCTTCCATAGCTAAGGAAACTGAGGCTTCGAGAGGTAAAGTCATTTACCAATGAGCACACAGTTAGTAAATGACATAAATGCCCTTCATTAAAAATAAATAAATAAATGTCCTTCATTCAGAGATATTTGGATTCCAAAGGCCATGCACATTTTGTCATGGATTGTCTTAGCCTCTTTCCAACGACATTTTGTCTATGAGAAACTAGGTATTTTCAAATGGTTTTTCAAGTGCAAAATAGGTCTCCACTCATAACTGAGGGTCAACTTGTTAGCTACCCAATCAATGTATATAAAAGAATATATTTCACTTAGTCCTGATCAAATTCAACCCAGCATTTGTTTAACTAAATACACCTCTAACTATTATGCATAAGAACATTTTTGCTGTCTGGAATCCATAGGAGAATTTTCCAAGCTTTATATTCTCCAAGTATCCATTTGTTCTCTAAACATCCAATACACAATCACACTGATTCTTCCAAGTTTTATCCACCAGCCATTGTAATGGTTCCCAGCGAGTCATTTCTCTAGGGAACATAGTAAGTTTCTTCAAATCTCCTCGAAATAGAAAGAGAAAAAGTAAGCAAAAATAAGAGATAAATATCCATAACACCAGCTAATATTTATTTAATAAGCATTTGCTATATGCCAAGTATTAACTGCTTTATAATATTTCATTTAATCATAACACAAAAACACTTCATGGATTATGATTTAGAGAGATTAATATTCTTGAAGTAACACAACTAGAAAGTGACAGAAATTCAAACCCAGGTCTGCTCTACATAGAGTCCAGCCTCCTATATATATCATACCATACTGCCTTACAACCATTTAACTCTGTGTGTGTGTGTGTGTGTGTGTGTGTGTGTGTGTGTGTATAGATACATCTTAGATAGAGTATGCCAATAATGTCCATTAGCCTCCTATATATATCATACCATACTGCCTTACAACCATTTAACTCTGTGTCTCTGTGTGTGTGTGTGTGTGTGTGTGTGTGTGTATAGATACATCTTAGATAGAGTATGCCAATAATGTCCATTAGAAGTAAGAACTTTTACCAAAGAGTCTTAGTTATAGTTGCCATATGACACACAACTATTAGGTCAAGATTTGCTGGCTACATATATCAACACATTAAAATATTTACTGAACTTTAATCCCTGTTAAGAAGGCAAAATGACAGAAGTCCACAGACGCTTGTGGAAAAACTAAAGTATCATTTATTCATTGACACTAAGAATCCCAGTGAAAATCAAATAGTTTTAAACAAATGTACAACAAGATTTGGCAAAAGAAGTATAAGCTAGAGCCAAGCAAGCCTCTGGAGTAGCGGAGTTTCTGCTGCAGCACCATATGGATTCAGCCTTTTCTAACAATATAGTTTGGGTTTCCCTGGTGTCTCAGACAGTAAAGAATCTGCCTGCCATGCAGGAGACCTGGGTTCAATCCCTGGGTTGGGAAGATCCCCTGGAGAAGGGAATGCCAACCTACTCTAGTATTTTTGCCTGGAGAATTCCAGAGGAGGCTGGCAGACTAAACAGCCCTTGGAGTTGCAGAGTCAGACATGACTGAACATGCACGCATGCATATGCATATGCATTGGAAGCATAACAACAGATTTATCCAAAATATAAATATCCAGATAATAAAATACCTACTGTGGTGTACTGCATAATAAAACTAAAGACAAAAAATTAGTGGTGCTTTGACAAATCAATAATTGTGATTTAATCAAATTCCCTTTAAGATGGTAGTGGTGGTTTAGTTGGTAAGTTGTGTCTGACTCTTGTGACCCCATGGCTTGTAGACCACCAGGCTCCTCTGACACAGAACTTTTCCAGGCAAGAATACTGGAGTGGGTTGCCATTTCCTTTTACAGGGGATCTTCCCAACTCAGGGATAGAACCAGAGTCTCCTGCACTGCAGGTGGTATCCTGCATTGCAGGCACACTCTTTACCGACTAAGCCACCAGGGAAGCCCTGTTTCCCTTTTAGGTGAATAATCAATTAATCTGACTTAATCATGATGCCCTTTCAGATGTGTGAATATTTTGAAAACTTAATGGAATGTTAATCTATTGTTAATTTCAAATTTCCCAGAAAAACATCTAATGCAAAAGACTTTTTTAAGAGTGTATAACTATACAGGTCTGAAAATTTTAAAAATATTTGCTTCCAGAATTACAATTAGTTTTTAAGAAAGCAGTTTTAAAGTAGATACATCCTCTCTTCAAACTAACTGTAAGGGTTGTTTTGTGGTTTAGTCGCTCAGTCGTGTCCAACTCTTTTGCAGCTCTATGGACTGTAGCCCACCAGGCTTCTCTATCTATGGGACTTTCCAGGCAAGAATACTGGAGTGGGTTGCCATTTCCTCCTACAGGGGATCTTCCCAACTCACAGATTAAGCCTACATCTCCTGCACTGGTAGGCAGATTCTTTACCATTGAGCCACCAGGGTATTAATATTTTTATGTGTGAAGCAATGAGTTTAACCAACTGCAGTGTACCCTGAAAGCCAAAATAAATGTACAAATTATATTTAGGCACCTAGAAATTTTGTTTTATAGTAGAAGAGGAAATAGCAGCAAATTATTATTCCATACATGAGGGAATAAGAAAAATATTCTTTAGAAATAATGTAAACCAAAACACAAAAACTAAATTCCAGTTGAAATCAAGAAAGTTTATTTAAGTTGCTGGGGGTCTTAGTTAACAAATAAAACCCACGTATCAATAGAATGGAAAAAGAAAGACCTATATTTATTCAGTTCGATTCATAAAGCATTTATTGAAAACCCAACAATGTATCATGCACTGTGCTATGGTTCAGAGGTGACTAACTCACATTCCCAAAGTAGCCACTGTGTAGTTGGGTAGATAAAGATTACTTACAAATAACTATAGTACCGTGTGATAGATGAAATGATGAACACAGCATATAAAGAAAATGTGAATGGTCGTTATATCTGTACAAAACAAAACCAAAAGAATTCTTCTCCTTTATAAGATAGGAATCCTTTAAAAGGTAGTCTCATGGCTAAGACTCCATGCTGCCAATGCAGGGGGCCCAGGTTTGATCCCTGGTCAGGAAACTATTAGTAGATCCACCGTGCCTCAACTAAAGATACCTCATGCTGCAACTAAAACCTGGCACAGCCAAATAAATAAATATCTTTTAAAAAATAAAAGATAGGAAGTAAAGGAGAAAATCTAACATATCACTCATTGCTCACCTATTATGCAAAGCACATGCTAGGTACAGGGAAGCAAAATGACTGACACGGGCCCTGTGGTCAAGAATTTCTAAATACTAAGCAATTTCTCCAATACAAATGCTTTTAACAGAAGGCAAAGCTTAGCTAGATTATTCAGTGAGCTCTTTTAAGCTATAAACTAATTGTATCCTTCCTCAGAGTTGCCCCTAATTAAAAATTATATATTTTTATATATAAATTATATATATATATGTACATGTATTGACATTTGGCATCTAGTCCTTTGTTCACTGAGTGACTTTGAAAAGACATTTCCCCTCTCTGAAGCTCTATTTTCTTGCCTATAAAATAAAGAGTTGAACCAGAATATCTCTAAGGTGTTTTCTAGACCAAACCAGATAAACTCTAAGGTGTTTTCTATCCATCCAAAAGGCAGTTGTTCTTTTTTTTGCCCACTTTGTAAGCTGACTAGTAACATCTTATGTGAAGCAGTTTTGAAGGGAATAAAAATAAACCCTCCTGCCTCCAAGAATTCTGCTTCTACCTGTTCGTTCACGTCTGAAATGGTCTCTCCTGAGAGTGTCATATGAATTTAAATCCAAATTATATTGAAAATGACCCAGAAAGACATTTCAGCACATAATCAGTTAAGTCTGTGTGTGACAGGACAGAGTCTCAGTTTTCTTGTGAATAGAGTGGTGAGAAGAGAGGGGAGAGGAGA